GCTGAGAAACGTGAGGAGTGGGAGCACTGAGATCAGACAGGGCGTGAGTGACAGCCCCAAACTGGGTCGGATGAGCCCTCACTTGCGGCCTGCTTCTGCAAGGCGCACCCAGTCCCCCTCCGAGGAGCACCCCCACTGGAGGCTTCTTGTTCAGGGGGTACGTTAGCAGTGAAGCCTGTCAAAGGCAGGTCCCCCTGACTATAATAATAAAAAAAAAATGGAAAAATAATGAGCGTTAATGAGGATGTGGAGAAATCAAAACCTCATGCTTTGCTGGTGGGAATGTAAAATGGAGAACAGTCTGGCACAGGGGTGGGGACCTGTGGCCTTCCAGGTTCTTAAGTGCAGCCTTTTGACTGAGTCCAAACTTTACAGAACAAATCCTTTTATTTTAATGAATACATTTTTGTTCATCTTTTATATTTTATTTTTAAAATCAATGTATTTAAAATACCAAAGAACAAAATAAGTTTCAATGAAATAACGCTCTCAGATTGACCAGCACAATTAGAACATTCGTATAAGCCATAAGAGCTAAATTGATGGCTGCTACACTCCTGATTTAGTTCTAACTTCCCCCCCCCCGACTGGTACCACTACCACATGAGGCTGGTTGGCAAGAGTTTATGGGGGTTGAGTACGCTAGTCTGTTACCAGCTTTTGACAATGGTGCACTGTGTTTCTGTTTGAAGTGGAATTTGTGAATAGTTGCATAGCTTGGCAGTATTTTTTTAATCCTGCTTAATAGCCCATCATGTCAAAGAAGGCCAAGAGAATGCTGAGGGAAGAAAACAGATTTTTTAATGGGAATTGGGAATTGCAATATTGTCTCGTTTCTGCTACAGGTAAGATGACTTGCTTGCTTTGTGATACTGCAAAATTCAACATTAAAGAAATCTAGTGCTTATCATTATAACACTCATAAGGACCACAAATATTTTAAATTAGAAGGAGAAGTGTGAAAGGTTGTATTGCAGAAATTAAAAGATGAAAGGCAAAAGGAAAGATAATTCTTTCAAGCAGCAGTAAGACCTGGAAATAATAGCACTGAAGCAACTTATAAAATAGCTTATGTACTCTGGGAAAAAAGCCATTCAGCAATGTAGGAATTGTGCAAGGATGCATTGTCGAAGTTGTGGGGTGCTTAGACCCGGGTAACATTTCAAAGTACAAACAACTGCCTCTTTCCAGGAGAACCATAACTGATCAGCAGCATGAATTAGCCTTCAACTTAACAGAACAACTTCATGCACTACTTCAAAGGGAAAATATACATTATTCAATTGCTTTGGATGAATCAACTGGTACTACTGACTCGGCACAGGTTTTTACTTCATTCGGGCATAATAGAAGATTTTCTTTACCACAAAGAGTTACTTTGGGCACTCTTGTGAAGAGAACACGGCAATGGGTATCTTCTACAATTTTCAAGAGAAGTTTCATGAAGTTGGACTGAATTTGGTAAATTTAGCGAGTGTATGTGCAGATGTCCAGACGGTGTACTTTCTGTGATAGGAAAACATGAAGGGTTTATTGCACAGATTAAAAAAAGTGTTAACAGATTCAGATGCTCTCCTTTCTTCTCATTGTATCTTGCATCAGGAAAATCTCTGTGCTAAAGCTACTATTTTAAGTAACACTTTGCAACAAGTTATACGTATTGTTAACTATATTCATGCAAACGCAACATGGCATCATCAGTTTCATGACATGCTAAAGTTGAAGGACAAGGTATTCCGTGTGAATTTGCCATTCTAAAGTGCATTGGGCTGTCAAAGGGACAGGTGTTAACCAAAATTTTATCTCTGTGAGAACAGATAGTTAAATTTTATGAAGAACAGAATCAGCAATGTGAATTATTGAAGATTTCTGTAGGAATGTAGCATTTCTGTGTGATATCATGTCAAACCAAAATGACTTAAATATTTATTTGCAAGGTAAAACTAAGTCTATATATGATATGTGGCAAAAAAAAAATCCAAGCATTTTGAAAACTATCTTTTTTTCAAAACACTTCTTCAAAAGGAAATTTTGGATGACCATTTTCCCGAGTTAGCAAGAGTGATTGGTGAGCAGCATGATAAATGTGAATCATTTGAAGAATACGCAGCTGTTACAGACCTATTGGAGAACACAATGACAGTTTCAGACTTTGAGAATCATGACGTCACACTCAAATTAGCATCACCAAGGCACCTAAAGAACTACAGATGGATTGAGTTCTCAATAGGTGACTTTTTTTTTTTATTTTTAAAATATTATAAATGTTGTACCTAAATAAAGCAACACTATGTATTATGCAGCTAACAGCACTGCATGTCGAATGTTATATGTATAAA